AAAGAGTGATTGTATTCCCTTGTATCAAGGCCAGAGACTGTAGTTCAGAGTAATGGGTTGGGACCCTCTTCCTTTTTAGCCACTGGGGAGCTGCTGAGGGAATCTCCCATCCCTCATTCCCAGGAATAGGGTTGGCTCCTCTCTCTGACCTGCTCCCCACTCATATACAGTGTGCTGGGGATGGAGCAGGTTTACCTTAACCTGCCATCCCCCTTCAAAAGGTACCATGAACTCCTTCCAGGTCTGTGCTAGACTCACTCACCTCCCTTCTTCCCCACAAATGTCCACATGTCTCTCCAGCTTAGGAATGGTGCAACTTGGCTCCCCAGGCTTTTCAGAAGATTCTTAGCTGTGTCCTTGAGGTGGAAGGAGCCTTCATCCTGGAATGAAACACAACTATGAGGTCTTTTCCTTCCACTGTGCCCAAAATCTAGCTCCTCACCTCATGCAGACAAGAAAGCCTTCCAGTGATTCCAAAGGGATAGAGTCGACCTTTACCCTCTGCACCACTAAATCTGCTTGCGGCTTCACTGAGATCAAATTGTTCTAGAACAGAGCTGTGCACCCAGAAAGGCTTCGCAGGGCTGAACCTGTAACCCTTAAAAGGCATAACCTAGACTGCACCTTGCACAGCAGCCAAGAGCCAGCACAGCCCCACAGAACAGCCTGGAACTGCAACAGTCTAGGACTGGCACAGAGAATCTCCTGCAATGATCCCACCACAAACTCTTACTTTCTTATCTTCATTTTTCCATGTAGCTTTTTGGTTTTGGCTGCAAGCTCTGACTTGCATACTCTTTTTGCTTCATGCCTTGCTCCTGCCAACTCACAGCATATTCACAGTAAAAAAGGGGAGGAGAGAAATGAGGGAATAGATAAAGCCAGAGAGCTTCTTTCAGCTTCTGCTCTCTGAGTCAAGCTGAGGATGAGACATTTAGGCCTGGGAATGCATGGTGAAATTCAGGCAATGACAGGAGATGAAAGTTTCTTTTGACACAAAGATCACTTACCTTAATGGTAAAAATCAAGATGCGGCCCCGGGCAACCATGTTGAGGAAGAGTACCATGGCTTCATCCTCATGGGGAGAATAGGTGTCAAAGACTCTCTTGGCCATCACATGACCCTGTTGGTATTTAAATATGAGATGTACCTTAAGTTCTATATGGCCAGGACATGTAGGGGTGTGGAAATTTGCCCTGGAGGTCTCTGTCCTTATCCTTAGATAACACGACGAGCTACTTTTCTGTTAGGGAGCAAGTACCCAGGCAAATTCAGCCCCTGCACCTTTACACAGAGCACAAAGTGCTTTTTTGGACAGCATTACCCAAACTCATGACCCTTCTTCTGCCTACTTGCCCAACACACTCCTGTTAGGGTTCACATTTCTTCTACTTGAGGACTGAGCCCAAAGATGAATTGAGAAACCAGTAAAAGCTTTCCTCTGAGCTAGGCAAACTCAGAGAAACACCACGAGAACGTTTTGGGTCACCACATCCTGCTCTGGCAGATAGAGGCAAACGATCATTAAGGGACTTCTGGCCATTCTTTGCTTCATGCATACAGGTCAACAGAAGGACAAACATGACATAGTGAGAAAGTCACACGGAGACAAACTTTACCGTAGCTTGATTTAAGACGATGACATGGATCCCTCTTCCCTGCTCCCGAGCATCATCTTCCAAGACCTGCAAGTAGAGAAGTCATGAGAACTGCAAACCAAAACCCTTATTTCCTACCCAACAATCCTGTCTGTTCAGCACAACAGGGTCCCCAAACAAGACACAAGTATCTCTTGGGACATTTTGGTTTAGCTCATGGCATCGATTGTGCCCGAGTAGGGGACCATGTGGGACAACAGTTCTGTGGCCCTGTAAGCAGGAGCAGGAGGATGCCTGTTGCCAATCACAGAAATGTGCTCCTAGAAGCACTTCATAGAATAATTCTTCATATCATAGCAGGCTCCACCCATCCAGCCCCAACCATCCTCTGCTCAAAGACAGAGCCAGCAACAGCCACTCACCGTTGTCCCATCCACAGCCACATAGACCTTTGATCGGCTGGAGTAGACCTCGACATCCAAGACCTTCCTGGTGTTGGCAGGCTGCTTAGGGACATCCATGTCCAGCATCTCATCATCTGCAAGGGAGGAAAGCCCAGTCTCACCCAGCCCCAGAGCTGCTGGCGTTTTCTCTGCTCGGCCCTAGATGCAGCCATACCTCCGAGGAGGTCATACACACTAGGCATCCCAGCTGAACAAGCCATGGGCCAGAATCTACAGGGAAAGCTCAAGGGAAAAAGGCTAAATTGCAACAGGTCTGACCCCAGCCATCCCCATGAAGCCTTCTGCAGTCAGAGAAAACTATTGCCCTCTGCCCCACTACTCAGCTGAAGCCTTAAGAAGATGAGGAATGGTAACAGTTTGTGAATTTTTTGTTAAACCCACATGCAGAGAGATGTCTTTCCTGCTGTAGGTGGAGACAGGTTACTCCCCTCTCCCCCCTTTCCTTGCTTTCACAGCAGGGTCATGCCTCTCACCATATTCCTGTGTGGACTCCTCTTCCTCCTCATAAGCAGCTCTCCTGGTGTCCAAGATCAGCTTGATATTCACAATCACAGTCACAAGCAGGAACAGGACAGCACCTGTCTGCAGAACACTGTGTTAACAGCTTATAAGGAACCACCCTGACAGCTACCTGGTAGAGCATGCAGAGCACTTCAAGTAGATCTTGCAAGAGATTTGGCATTGTCATTTTTTGTATTATCTTCTGGGAAATGCAGAGAGAGGAATAGGCATGACCAAGCTTTAGGATAAATGTTTTCATCTGCCAGAAAGCACTGAACAAAAGAACAAGCCCACTTCCAGCAGGTCCCTGCTTCCAGATCTGTGAGCAGATTTCTGCTAAAATATCCATCAAGGCTGAGGACGTCTGTGTGTCAAGGGTTTGGTAATACAAAGTTACAGCAGTAACCTCAGTTCTGTGCCTCCTGCAACACCACTACATCCGTCTCACCCCTGTAACCACAGGACACGGCCACCACAGTCATTCACATGGCAGACAGACACATCCAGAACTGGAGAGTGAGGCAGAGATGCTGTAGGGACTGAAGCAAAGCACAGGCAAGAAGCTGAGGCCCAGCTTCAGGAAACTGCACTGTGTTATGGGCTGCAGAGACCAGCGCACTGCCTTCCTGCCTGCAGCCAACCACAGGGCAACCCACGCAGAGCAGTGGAGAGGGCCGTGGTTTATACAGCAGACCGTAAGAGTCTCTAAACTGAGTACCACCACTTCCCAAGGCAGTGTTGCTCCAATATCCAACTATTATGTATTTCTTTAAATGCATCTTTTCCCCTCTGCTCCAATTTTAGTCATTTTCCTGATATTTAGACAGAGTAAAGTAGGAAATATGCCGCACCAAAAGGGTCAGTTCTGAGACACAGGGCTGTACAGGCAGACTGGGACCATGAACATCCAGAAGTGCACAGTGACCAGCCTGCAGACACACACAGGACAGAGCCCCAGGGGACGGTCTGAGGGCTGCAGCGTTGCCCTGTGGTGCAGAATGCCTCAGGTTTAAAGATAAGGCCCCAGCTGACATGATCTCTCACTGCTCGTGGGCAGGGAGCCTGCCTGGCTCTCCTGCATGACGGAAGGTAACAGCAGCACGTGGAGCTGCAGAGCTCTGTGAGCGGTGAGGCAGCGACAGCCCTGCCTCAGCTAACCCACAGCTGCCCTGGCCATTGGCACAGGAAGGTCCTGTCACCAAATTTAAGACAGAAAGGACCAGACACCTGCTAACCACAAAGCCAGCACAGCTGCAGGGCTCCCCCACCTGCCTCCAGGCCAAGAGGCACCTTTCAGTTCATAGCAGAGCCAACATATGGCCCAAATCTGATTGCTACATGCTGCTGGATTCATCCTGGGAGCCAAACGCTGTGGCCCCTCATCCACATGGACCAGATGTTTGCCCCTGACCTTCCCTGCAAACTCAGGGTCCTGCTAAGCTCCCCATAGCATTCCAGGAGAGGTGTCTATGTGGAGGTGTCACAGGAACCGAGGAGCAGGAGGCAAGAGTTTGGGATGGGTTCAAGCAAGGCTGCTTATAGCATGGTCTCCTCCAAGGATAGGTCAGGCCTCAAGGGGAGGCTGTTAGAGACAGAGCTTGGGTAGTTCTGAAACTCCTCTCGTATCATGTGTGCAAAAACTAACTCAAAACAAGTTGCCCTACAAGTCCCCAGGTCCAAAACAACTTGTTTCCTCAGCATCTGAGCCTTTTTCACCTTTAGGATTCCTGCAATGGCACTTTCTCTCAAGCAGATTCTCCAAGGTCTACTGGGTTGAGAACAAATATAAACTTGCCCTTGGTAAGAGGCGCTAAATGAACCTCACCGCATGGCAATTTACTGCCTCAAAGCTACATGTTCCTGCTACCTCTCCTGAGCAATCAAACATGTTCGATACCACCTAGGAAGATAAATGGGGAAAAAGAGTAACCAGATAATAGATGGACAAACAGACAGCCTGATAAAATGTGTCACTGCCATTTTGGCTTGTCAGTTTGCCATCAGTTAAAGAATACGAGCACCTCTGTGAATCTGGGCAGCAAAAGCTTTTAATTAACCAAGAGGAGAATCTCAGCCTTCTGGCTGAAAGCAGGTCATGTGCAGGGCCAACTTACTCAGGCCACACTGCCTGGCTGCTGCTGGAGACGTGGAGAAGCAGCCCAAGCTCCAGCCAGGGCACCCTGCAGAGCTGTCACAGGACATGGGACAGCCCCGAGCAGGACCCGCAGCCAAAGCTAATGGAGGGAGCTCAGCCAGAGCCGCCCACAGGGGCCTAGCTATTCTGGACTTGGCTTTCACAGCTGTAGCTCTAATTTAAATATTTTTAAGCCCGCTTGCACCTGTGTTTCAAACCTCAGCAGCTGACAAACACCCGCTGCCTCTTTCCGCAGTCTCCTTCCTAAGGCTTTCTCCTCCCAGGCAAACACAAAACCCTCCCCTCTGCCTCCCCACAGCAAATTGATTGCCCGGTTTCACCAAGCCCTGCTCATCTCAGAAACACCCCTTTCTGCAGCTCAGGGCCAAGGGCCCAAATCCTCTTGTCTTTGTTTCCCCAGACACTCACTGGGACACCGGCACTGTCTGGGATTAGCCATTTTTTAGCTTAAGCAACACGGCTCTCCCAGACGCCAGCTGCCTCCAGGCACAAGATCCCATTACTCACCCAGCCCTACTGCTCCCTCCACCTGCTGGGCCTTACACTAAGCCCGTGCCAGGGCTGCTTCACTACTACACACAGAGCACCGCTGTACTCGGCAACGGTACGGGTCTGCGAAGGGAGGAATCAGTTTCTTTCCTAGCTGAGAATCTCCCAGGAAGGCTTGAATAAGGGCATCTCCTGCTGCAGACACCCAGCAGGTCGATCTGAAGCAAGGAGGAACCGTTAGACACAGCAACCCCCTCAAGGCACGAGCACAAAGCCGCTCGGGCAGCTTTTCTGAGGACGAGTTATGCTTCCCCAGCACCTTACACCACCCCAGGCTGCTGAGAGACCCGCTTCCACCCCTGCAGC